CATGAAAGATCAAACACCATGGGTAAAAACTCACAATTGACCGAACATTTTAGCTTGTAATGGAATACTGCTTAGGCTCTGTCGCAGATATAATTGAAGTACATAAATTGCCTCTTAAAGAAGTTGAGATCGCATGCGTTGTTTCTGAGGTGTTGTGTGGACTCATATATTTGCACAGGGAAAACAGAATACATCGTGATATCAAAGCAGCTAATATTCTACTCACTGAAGGTGGCGGTGTTAAGATTGGCGATTTTGGCTCCGCCAGTTTTCTTAGTCCTGCAAATAGCTTTGTTGGTACTCCATTCTGGATAGCTCCCGAAGTTATTTTAGCGATGGAACATGGCCTTTATGATTCACGTGTCGACATATGGTCCTTAGGAATTACTTGCATTGAAATGGGTAGGCGTCAAATTTATTTATTCTCCAAAATATTGCAATTTTACTGCTTTATACCTCTGGTTCAAATGTTATATCCAATAGTTCTTATTCTATTTTATTTAATATTTGATTTTTTACATGCTTTTGTTTCCTATTTGCAGCCGAACTAGAGCCACCGTATTTTTCCGCCACAAATCCCATGGCGGCTCTCTATCAAATCGCTTCAAACGACGCCCCTCAACTTACAAATGGAGATTGGTCGGAAACCTTTAGATCATTTGTTCGATTTGTTTTAGTTAAAGATGTATGTATTTTAGCCCTTTTTGTTTATTCATTTTCCTTAAATAACTATCTTAACCTATTAGAATATCACATAAATGAGATCATTATTTTCTTTATTTGGCTACATTTAAGAACCCTATTATTTCATTAATAATGTGTTCTCGATATCGATCAACTTATGGATACAGGCCCTTATAAGTAGAAGTGCATTAACGGTGATTTTATACAACAATATGGTGATATTTTAATTTTAACTGTTTGGTGCTTTGGTTTGCAGATGAATGAACGTCCAACTGCCATACAGGCTTGTAAACACGCCTTCTGCGTCAATGCTTCTGAATCTTCCGTGTCTGTATTGCTTGAGTTGATACAAAGAACAAAGGCAGCTGTCGCTGCTCAAGAAAGCCAAATGAGTCAAAAGTTGAAAAAGATTCTCTATGAAAGTGATCTCAGCCAATCTCAGACTGCTCTTTCTACTTGTTTAGAGGAGTCTGAATCCCTCGATCCAGTTGACACCACTGAATCTGCCGTATTTATTCGCGGCGATGGTAGGAATCGCTATGCTGCCTTGGTTGACAATGGCCAAGATAGACGAGTGTCTACCAGCGGAGCAGGGTCAAGCTTAGGCCTGGGGGGTCTAGGAACAGCTATGGTAGTCGCTGGCGTCGGCAAGCAGGTTCATATAGGTCGCCATTCACGAGCTTCATCTCTCTCTAGACAACTAAAGTCAACTCATACACAGCATAATCAGCGAAAGGATCCTGGTCCAGAGCCAGGTCGCCAGCACAGCTCTTCAAAGTGGAACCAATCCCCCCAGCTTAATCATGAACCTGATTACTTTGAGGTATTTTTCAAGCTCTTAAAATTATTATCTTTTAAGCTTATTAATTTTTCCATATTATTGCCGGCTTCTAAATGATATAATTGTCTAACTTTGAGCAGCATTACTGATCGTTCAAAATATGCTTTATTATTTATGCACTCATTGTTTTTTATATCTGCAGCTATTACTTTTATTGCATTGAATGCTTATTATCGACATGTAACTTCACTTAAAGGACTGATAAAATTTCTATTGTACTAAATTGTGTCTTCAATTATTTTTTATACCTCAATACATTAATCTACATTTGCATACTTTCGAAGCATATGGATAAAATACTTAATGCGATTGGCCGTTCTTTAGCACCTGTTCTCTGCAGGTGCATGTGATTTCTTTTCCACAAAAGTTACTGATTATTTTATGATCATTTTTCATTTGAAGTACTTAATCAATTGCAAGGCGTTACTCAGTATATTTGCAAAAGGAATAAAAAATCGGAATCCGCGTATTAATTTTATATCAAGCTAAGTATTTGGAGGGCTACCACAAACCTAATGTTTTACGCCCTCTATATTTCTGCTTTATCTAAATTTGGCGCCTGATAGGCAATCAGCCAAATGAGAATGAACCTCTGCATCTAGTTGTGCTAAAAAATGATGTAACTCCACCTTAAACTAAAGCATCCCTTTCATATTCTGATCACGATCATTATTTTTCTCTCGGCACCTGCATCTCATTTTT